CAATCCAGGGGAATCCAGACATGTACCAGGCTGCGTAAAAACATTCTATGTCCCCTAATGCAATATAGACTCGCCAAGAGTGGACGCGATCACTAGCCGGCGCCAGCGAGATTCGAAATCCAAACGTTTAGTCAAAACCAAAGCAGTTAGCCAATTCGCTGTTGAGTTTGCAAATTGGCTGCCCCAATACTTCTGAGACTTGCTGTAAATATGATGACTGTTTAAGCTATCAATGGTCTATATACACTTGTAACTTGTTGGCAAATATCTTAGCACATCTCTTCCATACAGTGTGTGTATTTTAACATGATAGGATCTGAGTGGGCATATATACTGTCATGCCATGAGCAATTCACAAACATATAAATGCATAGTAATGCAAATTATTTTCTGATCAGCTTATCAAGGTCATACTATCACCAGTCACTTCAAGATGACAAGATATTGCTTGATTTCTTTTGATGAAAGGGAGTGATTATCTTCATGTTATTATTTGAACCCTTTTAAAACTGACTGAATCAATAGTTTGCTAGCAAACCCCGAGAATGATACGTACATAAATCATTTCAACTCTTTGTGAATACTGAGCCTTGTGTGTCAACAAGTCCAGATAATCCGGATAAATGTCACAGATTATTCTATACTACAGATATTCTGAAACACAGTGAGGTTTTAGCTTTCGATAACAAGCATATTGCAATATGATAAGAAGTCTGGCTTTGCAACATTGTTATAATTGTTGTTTAGATTTTATTAAGTACTTATTAAGTTTATAATAACTCATTCCCCTCATTAATATCTTTACATAAATAAAATTGTTTTAAGAATTAATTAACACAATCAAGTATGAGGTTTAAACTCTGTGTTTAGTTGAACAGACATTGCATCATACATTACAAATGTAATTAGTAATTTTTTGACTCCCTAGGTAGCTTAAACTTTGTGCTTTTCATGAAAACATTAAAAATCTTTTCAAACGTGTTTGATGCCAAGCATTTTGTCAGTGTTGTGTTAATTTTTATCAATTATACCTCAGACAACTAATAAATTTAATTTAACTAATTTATTAGTTGTCTGAGATTATACATACACCCTCTACATAAGTAATTAAGAGAAGAAACAACGTGCAAATCATATTAGAATTGAATCAGTATAAAAATAAAATGCAACTAGCCAAGAAGTGAAACCATTATGGTATTAAATTCTGATTAAAAACTAAAACCAAAAAAAATGCATGCACTTACGGATACTTTAGTCGAGCCAAGCTACACATCCACATACAGACAGCAAAGCAATAAGTAAACATATTACACATGGAAAACAAAAGGAAAGGTAGGCGCATAAATAAATATATAATAACAGACTTAAATCAATAAACAGCTAAACTGTGGACGTAAAACATCAAGATTCAAAGTATCATCACATTCATACAGATTGGTCTTGATATCATAAAACTATTTCAATATTTCGAAAGACTGCAAAGCATGCACACCCAGCAAACCCATCATACATGTATACAGCTTTATGCAAAACACTAACAGACAATACAATATAGACACGACTCATGGATGTACATGGACAGCACTACTGCAAAGCAGACAGAAAAATTAACGGCATTACGGTGTAAGTTGTTATCGTTAATCTGTTCAAACACAATCAACTCTGCCATTCCTCACCCACAATAAAACACACGGATATACAATTTATTTTTATTAAAAGTACTTTGAACTTACCACATAATAAAATAATAACTTCATTGTGCAAATTGTAAGGCAAGGTATGGAAAGAAATAAGAAGAAATTAGCCGGCAAAGCATTGATGCAGAAACACTCAAGATATGGCTGTTAGCATAATGACACCAAGAATTTAAACTGAAAAACCTTACCAATCACAATTCAAGAATCACTCGCAATAAGCAGTAAGCAAAAAACTTTGCTAAATGTTTTATTAAATGTAATTTATTGGAATTTTTTTTCTTTTTATGAAAACATACGTGATGGATATGTAAATACTTGTATAATATATTATACATGTATTGATGGTATAGTTAATTTGTATATTAAACTGGTCAAAGTAAATTGGTACATTAAGTAAAGTTAGTTTTGAATGAAACATGCAACACCTATGAATTTTACATATATTGTCAATGACCCCAGCTGATAGAATGTTTATTGTCTGGTTGAGGACGCTTTTTGTGTCAGATTCCAATATGAGGCTCATTGACTCATTTGTTCAGAGTCAAAGTTCCCCATTCACACAAGCTGTAGTCCAAGCCTGAAAAAATATATATCCATCCAGTTATTTTTCCATGGTAAATTTATAATTATTAAATAATTTAATTTAATTATAAAATAAATAGTTATAGTCTATTGTTATTTATATATTTAAATTATTTATTTTCATAACAATTACAGATAAAGGCAGATTTAAATGAACTGACCTTGACTGATGGATGAGGGGATGGATGAGGGGAGTATGGGAGGTCCAGCGAACCATTAGACATCGTATTAGGGGATAGGAGGATAATGGACACAAATGAACTTGACTTACATTATCTCTAGAGGCAGAGGCATCTATGGGGTTTATAGTTGCTCCTTTCGCCATTTTACTCAAATCGTCAGCTAGTGTACTGGATATTTTGGCAATTTCAGCAGCATGTTTTCCATCAAATCGACCTTTCATTCTACGGATGTCATCATAGTTGTCTTCCGGTTCAGAGACACTATTAGAATGTCTGTCATACACAGTTGTCTGCGTTGATTCACTGTCCGATACAGAATATGCATCGCTACTCTCGTACCTCCTCCACGAACTACCTTTCTTCTGCTGATAAGTACTTTCCTCCTTACTTGTAACTGGTTTAAAGGCACTTGGTCCACTTCCAAAACGTAGTTTATCTACAGAGGAAGTTTTTGTAGTATTGGCAAGATTCTGAGAAGAAGAAGCCCTGTTTTCCATTGCCTTTTTCACAATAACACCGCCTAAACTTGTTTCACTTTTCCAGTCAGTTTCTCCCAGTTTTGTTCGATGAGTTGTTCTTGGTGGGCCCCTGTGAGGTCTATCCTTATTTGAGTAAGTCTCCCTTTTTCTCTGAACTGATGTTGTGGATGAATTTAATCTCTTTTCTGGGCTGGATCTTGCGGAATGATCAGTTAATTCACTACCACTGTCACGATCTTTGTCTCCAAATCTTGACTTTCGTAAAGCTGTTGTTCTTGTTTGGCGTGGTTGAATAGTAGGAGATGTTCGACTCTTTTTTGACAAAGTATCAGAACTGTTTCGATGGCTAATTGTTTTTGTACTGTCACTTAAACAATCAGACACAACTGATCCATCTTTCATTTTATGACGATTTGGTTTTGATAAACGATTCCATACTGCAGAGCTGGACGAATCACTGGGTTTTCTTGAAGACTCACTGGGTGGCTTTCTAGTGGAATCACCAGGTTTTCTTGTAGTTTCTCTGCGCCTTGGTGTTGCAGTGGTCTTACTTGTTCGAGTACTTTGCGCACCATGTTTTGTAAGTGTACGAGAGTTAGAACCTTCCATGATATTCCTAGGAGTTTTGGGTTTGCTAGTGCACGAGTCACCATCAACTAAACTGACATTACTCGATGTATCAAAATCAGACTCGATATCCATTTCTGACGATGCCATTGAATAGTCGTCAAACGACGATTCAGCAAAACTGGCATCCAAAGATGGACATTCGTCATAGTGTCGTACATATTTATTCTGTATCGTTGCCATAACAGTTTCAGTGTCCTGTAATAATATATTTGTATCAATGCTGATAGCATCACTATCTAACTTTGGTTTATTAACAGCCGTACTGGTGGGAGACACTATGTCACTCACAATTGACAGATCTTCTCTATCTTTATCACTCGCATTACTGTACTGTGAATAATCACTTGGGGTCGTTGACCTTTGTGATACTGTAGGTGAATCTCCTGATGGAGTTCGGGGTAGCATTCGTCCACGCGATCTCTTCCTCTGCAGTAACTTTAATGATTCCTTGCTTGGTGATTTTTCTTCATCACTTTTTTTGTCCACTACTGTTTGAAAGAGGAGAACAAATCAATGAATGCCAATCTGTAACTTAATGGATGTGTGAAAAAAAAGCTGCTGCATATCAGAACTATAGTGATGTCACTACACAATTATTAATTACCTGATCATTGTTTTAATATTCAAAAAAAAATGCTGTGTGTTGAAATAGAATACAAAATAGAAATAGAATACAAAAATGTTAAATATTTTGTCAAAATATTTAAAATTAATAACAAAGATTTTACTCCATTGAGAGGCACAATGTGAAAGCAATTTAATTGAAGTTTATAATAGTTACTGAAAATTATTATAATACATTAAATTTACCGGATTCGGCTGATACCCCACCCATCCTAAACTCCACCCATGGGCGATGTTTCAAAATAGTGGGCGATGTTTTGGTCCACACATTGCTTGACTGAACCAATCATTTTTACAGACCCCAATTTTCCCATCCGACATCTTGCATCGAGCACGCTATTTCAAATATAACGTTAAAAATAATTCACTGTGAAGTCGAAACGCGTAAAAATTCAATAAATCCAATGCTGTATATGAATTGTTGTTGCATGAAAAATGGTATATATTTGTATTTTATGCAAGTATTTATTACCAATTTCAAGAGCAAAAGTCGTATCTTTCGAAGGTACGAGTATTATTATGTGCTTGAAATGAATGCTATTTACGAAGTTTGAAATACTCAAGCCTTCCTGATTCGAGCCTCTTGGTTGATTTGACAACGGTAGGTATCGTTAATGTTTAATCGCTGTCTGTATTGCATTCTTGACAAAAAGTTCAAGATCGGTAAACAGGAAATTGGCGAACTAAAATGTCTCCTGCGTTTCACACGCGACATGATTATTAAAAAACACAGAGTTAAGCGGTCGTGTACTTTCTAGAAATCTAACCTTGCACACATAATCTTGTATTTGACGTGTTTTTTTGTCCAAAAAAGACGTTCCCTTTCAGTAAACTCTTCGCGTTCATGGTATTTGTGAGAGTTGAAAGATTTTTTGAACAAATGATAGGTAACTATATTAATTTGGGTGAAGCTGGGTGACCCGAATTTAAATATCAGTGCATGAATTCTGGAGGTCATTGCCCAATGCCGCACGTAATTCAAACACATGGTTAGTAGAGTTCAGTCAAAATGTACGTGAATAATGCGATCGAAGTGCGCTGCCCAAAGTTTATTACATTACATATTCACTTCATTTCGAATAAAATAATTCACCATTGGGAACATCGATGAATCACAAGATACCTGACTACTATGTTTATGGTTGTGTAATTATTACGAGTGCAACGCATTATAAAGTCAGTAATATAAATTACTTGAGTTTGCGTAATTATTATGAAAGCATTAAGAAGTTGAAATATTCAGAGCCGGTACAATATTGTAAACAAATTTGCGTCATTAGAAAAGCAGCGCACGAAGTAAACGATGTTGATATACTAGTATTCAAAGCCAGAGTTGCAGACAAGTTATGTTACAGTACCGTCGGATATAATAACAATTTTACTAGGCCGACGCGCAGAGCACGAAAGAAAAAGGTTGCTGTGGTAATGCGCCAGTTCAATGCGTGACTTGGGGTCAAACTTCGGTCAACACACACTTGATGTCAGCAGTATCGCCGCACAGCAACAGTTTGTAAAGAAGTACTTGAAGTTCAATTGCATCCAAAATGATTTCGCTGATTACTCGGTTGTCGCAGCGTGTGTTGTGTCATGTCCATGATGCACCCGTTTTGACTTTGGCTTGCTTTTTCTACTTGTTCACGTAATGCGATCTCTCACCAATGTAATAAAACACTTTGAATTTATGCTTTGCATGATTATATTTGGTCAACGCGAAACATTATTTTTTCTAAACATTTTCTGAGACCATTTTTATCAGTGCATGGTTATTTTTCCGGACAAAATGGGCTTTGTAATATCTGCCATAACATCGCCCGGGCAATCTTTTGGTCCACACTTTTCTAAAAAAAAAATCTAATCCTCCATAAGATCGCCCAGGGTGGGGTATCAGCCAAATCCAGTAATTGTACATTTGTTGTTTATCCTAGGTCATCTATGCACCAAAATTCATTTGTATTGAAGTGGTTCCTGATACATCAGAGGAACAAGTACAAATTATTATAATAACAATAACTGCTATAATACTACATGATGCATATCTTTGATTACAATTCTTTAAGTATAATATTGAGAGATTATATTACAAAATGGTAGCTTTGTTATCCTGACCTTTGCTTATCTCCACAGCATGTTGTCTGGTTTTCTCTTCAATTTTCTCAGTCATTTGTGTTTCTTTACCATTATGTCCAGACCACTGTGTTCCCCAGTCAGGAGATGTATTTGGCGATACAGCTTTGTGTGTCTGTAAGAGTGTCAATAGACAAAACTGTCAGCATGATTGCGATAATAGGTTTGTTGTTAATCATTTTAGTTTTGTCAAATGTAATCCACTAAATGTCAACAAGTCAGTTGCTATAACCTTTATATATAAAGCAAACATAATGCCCTTGCAGAAACAATTTTAACCTTTTTTGACCAAAAATGACACTTTTTGACCCCAAACCATACTAAACATGCACAGATCAACAAAAAAATTGATGTTCATTTATATGTTTTAGTGATACACCTTCATAGCGAATTTTGTGTGAAAATCAGCGTAACACGTACCACGTAACATACATTTTCAGCATTTTAAAATGGCATGCACAGGTGTACCAAGTTTGAATGAAATCAGTTCAGGCATGCCCAAAATATGGGTGAAAACAGATGGACACAGAGACAGAACCAAAGTTATAAGCTGCATTCCGGCACATTCTTATTTACATACATGTAACTGCTATGTTTATACCAATTTTTGGTCATGTGACCAATTGTTCTGATTGCATGTTTATTTTCGCAAATCCACATGTCTCTTAATTGTAAACCCTAGTGAGTGTAATTGCCACAGATATTAGGACATAACTTGTAAACTGTCATTATCTTAGCTACATAACTGTACCAGTGTAGGTAGAGACTAGACTGAGCTTTCAAGAAAATTCATAAATTAGAAGGTTCATTTCAATGTCAATGAAATGCATTGAATTATTCATGTAAAAATGACAAATCATAAAATACATCTTTTATGTAAATTTATGTTTAGCGCTGTGCACTGGCAATGCAATCAATCAATTTATATTCTTTTATAGAAACACTCACTCAAAAGTGTGAGTTTACACATATAAATTAACAGCTTTTTGGTCAGAGTAAATTGCACAAGGGTGCTTGCCCAAGAGCAATTTACAAGAATGTTAACCTGAACTACATTATCTATTTATATCCAACAGTGCATCATGTTTGGAGTCTCGGTGCTAGTAAACTTAATGGGGCCTCAAACATTTACCAAAAACCTTGTAGACGTCATTTAACTATCAGTAAACACACAGTTTCTTGTTGTGTTTCTAATACTTACATTCACTACTGTTTCAGTAATATTCTCAGGTTTTCTTTCCAGCCCACTATTTCTAGTGTTTTCCTTCATATTTGCTTTATGAATACCAAATACAACATCAATTTTTTTCCTGGCTTCTAATTCTTCCTTTGACTTCCTATCACCTTGTATTGTGTAAGTACCAGTCTCACTGATATTGTCCTCATCCTGCTCCTTAAACTGTGGATGGTGAGGCATTTTCCGATGCACTCTGGGTTTAGTCTTACTACTTGGCATTGACTTTGATCTACTCAATGAGTTTGTTTTGTAACTTCTGTATTGCTGCGTTGCCACGGTTTCATTCATCTCCACATGCTCCAAAATAGATCCAGTGCTGCTTTTTGGTCTTGATGATCTATTTTCGGTGAAAATTCTATCTACAAGTTCATCCGACTCCATCACATTGTCAAGGTCGCTATCAGATTGTAATACATCACCTGTCAACATGTCCGTAGTTTGGATTTTCCTCTGACGATATTTCTCTGCCCTTTCTGAAATAGACAAACAGCACCTGTTAGTCTGATAAAACCACATGCATTGTAGTTAGATGACAATCCAGACTTCACATTTGATATTCAAATTAGTGTTTCATTTACACATGATTAAGTTGATAATATTTAACTAAACAATTCTACAAGTACATCATTTATATCCAAAATTACATGTGGATAACAGTGAAAAAATGCACTCAGCCGTCATGATGGTAAAAGTCTCATATCATCAGAGCACATGAAACAAAATTATATTAAGCATCTTCCCCAAAGGTTGTTAATAGTTAGTGCAGATAGCATATTTGCTCTCTATTACATTATAGTTATATTTTACTGAAGAGAAGCAATAGATACTCACCATGTCTCATACCTGCACTGTTTCTACCAGTTGGTAATCTCTCAGGCTGCAACAAATAGTTATAGAATTCTATTTATTACAATATTTTAACCTAGTACATTTTTCACATGACAGCTAAGCCACCAGAGTACATGTATGTATTTCAAAATAACAAGGACATATTGCTGTTAATATGTTCAAAGAATGACTATATTACATATATCAGGTATCAACCCTAATAATACATGTTTTTATTTTTTTTATTTTCTTTTATAATCATATCAATGTATTGCACAGTTGTCTTGTGACACAACTATTCAGTTTACACCAGTCCTGCTGTAAATGATTTATAAAAACAATTTTTACCTTCATATCAAGATGCTCTTCTATTTTCCTCAGAATTCTCTTTTCTTCCATTATCCTTCCATTTTCATCAATTTTCTCCCTAACTTTTGAAGGTATAAACTTACTAAGGCTGTCTTGTAATCCTAACTTTGGTGTAGCGTCTTTTTCATTGAATTCAATCGTGAAACTAGCATGTTTTTCACCAGTAGTGACAATATTTATTTGACTTTCGTCCAGCTCATCTTGTTTGGGTTCTGCGGGTTTAAGATCGGTTGATGTACGATGATAAATCTTTTCATTGTTATCTAGACTTTTCATCTCAACTGACTTTTCATTCTTCCCATTGGGTATTTTCTGTGCAGGAACTGAAAAAAAAAAAGAAAATTTAATTAATTTTCATTGCTGGCAATAATAAAGTATTTGTTCAAATCAAAGTGCATTCCCAATAGAAGCACATTTATTGTATACCTGTATTGGAAACATTTCTGATATTGACATAAGTGCACATGTTACTAACTGAAGCAGGTACATGTTTGATACATGCTACGAATCAAGATGATTGGTTACCTTCTTGTGCACCTTGATCCTCTTTCTCTTCACCCCACCATGCTGGCTGACCATATAAGGGGCTGCCATGGTAACCTGCTATGTAAACACATTCAAAATGTTACGAAACAAAAGAGCAAGTTAACAAATCCTTGGACATTCATGGTTTAATATCTAAAACAAGACAGAGATTGGATATGAATAACACATAGCAAAAATGAATTGCTTTATTACCACCAATTGCATGGAAGACATAAACTATCATAACTAATGTATTTATCATTTAGCCTTAAACTGTAAGCAACTGAAGCGTGAATTCACTTGAATTCATACGCATGCAATACGATAACCAGTGACTAACTGCAACAATAACCAACACAGGGAAAAATACATATATCTATTTACCTGGTGTCAATAGTTTCTTTAAATGACTTTTTTTAGTTATACCAGATTCTTTTATCCCGTCTGACTCTATGCCATTTGATGGAGAATTACGACTTTTCTGTAACAGTTTTACAGAATTTCTTTCTTTTTCAGTGTTCTCTATTGTCTCTTGTTCTGTATATCCCATATTATCCTTCAACACACAAAAAAAGACAGTCATTGGAAAAAATCAAAACACAGATGGTAGGGACATAATTAATGTGTGGATGCACACAATTTACCAGAATAAGTCCAAAATTATGTTTCTTATTAAACAGTCAAAATACAGCATGAAGGGATGAAAAATTACAAAAATAGCAAATTCTATAACTTTGATTTCTTTAACCTTTAAATAAAAGTTAAATTGCTATGTTCAGTGGTTAATCCATAATTTTAATAGTAAACTTTTAAATGTTGATTTTTGGCATTAGTTATTTTGAAATATTGTAAAATCATTGATACTTGTGATGTTTTGGGGTTTTTGATTTGGGTGAATTTTCAACATTAAAATGGCTGCCATTCAACCATCTTTAATCAAATGCCCAAACGAATAAATGTGCATATATATATACGACATGATGTATAATATATAAATTTTAAACATAATTGGTCAGGGAATGTCAAAAAAATAGCTCTTAAACTGCATTAATTAAAACAAAATTGCTGCCAATTGGTCATTTTGAATCTGGTCTGAAAAACAAATTGATGTGCATCAAGATATCAATGTTGTTTGTACCAAGTTTGAAAGAAATCTGTTCATAAATGGTCACCATTTTGCCATCTTGAATCAGACCAGGAAACAAACCAACATGTATATGTATCCCAAGTTTGAAACTGATCAATCCAGGCATGTCCGAGATACAGGTGGAGACGCACACACGTGGGTCAAAACACAAGACCCTGTTTTTGGACTTTGTGCGAACAGGAACTAATAAATAACTAAAACTATTTTTATTCTGTACAGTGATAATAAGTGAATGATAATAACTTACCATATTTTTGTCATTAACCGGGCTGAGATCAGTGAAGTCTACACGACCAGCTTTCTCAAAACGATAGACATGAGGATGTACGAACATTAAGGAAATTATGTTGTCTGTTGTTTTCTTTCTTTCAAGAAATTATAATGAAAAAAATCAATATAAACACTTTCCTGCAATTTAATGAATGCTCTCAACGAACAGAGCCTGCACAGCCAAGTTTGAATCAAATTCAAGGTATTAGCAAACTTATAAATTAGTCCAATGATGGAAAATAACACGACCATTTGACCATACTGGATAAAATGACAAATACACTCAAATAAAATAATTATATTGCATTTTCAATACCATATTTATATTGAAAATCACCCTACAGGTAGGCGATATTTTGAATAAAAGGTAGTATTTTGGACGATGTTTTAGCATTTTCACTCAACCTTGTATGTACAATCATAAACGTAACTACAGGCACGTGGCAAAGAAAAATGCTTTAATGCAAAGCATATATATTTCCTCCATCATTGTTGTAAAAGGTTGAAAAGTTCATTACTACCATATAAATGTATGGTACCCGGTATATATGTATGCAAAACAATTGAATGTTTTTTTACTGCACTAATTGTCTAACTGTTTAAATTGTATATTTTCTTTACTATGATCCACCTACCAACCCCTGGCATAATTAGAATATTAGTAATTAGTAAACTGGCTGAACAAAGAAAAAACTAAATAATTAAAATAATAGAAAATGGTATTATTAACTGAACTAAGGACATCTACTGGTATCTGTGGTATCATACATGTATTATGTCAAACTGTAAACATCGAGCACAATAACACAGCCATGGTACATGGTATGAATGAAAAGGATATCGTAGCCAAATCTTATAGTATCACCACCCTGTAGAGTCACATAAGTCTGCTCTGGAATACGGCTTTCATTAACAAAGGTCTGCAAGAAAAATGCAAGAAACACAATGACACTAAACATGTGACTGGGGATACTGTCAATGCTAGAAAAAGTTTCATTGTCTTCATGTGAAATGTCCAATTTGTGCGATGACAATATCAATGGTCATGTATACTTGTATAAAATATGAGAAAATAAATGTCTTTTTACATTTGAGATGCTCAGTTAACATCATGAAAAACTATTATCAGACAACTGAAGATAGCGGTATGTATTCCTTTCAGATTGCATTGTAGCGTATGAATACAACTAAACCAGATGGAATTGCAGCTCAGCTGTTCAGATGGGATTTCATTTGTGTATAGCTATGCCCCTAACACTCTGTACACCTGATACTACAATGTGTATAAGCCACATTCTCAAATTTAAGTAGCTAAACTTGCCCAGGGCTCATCCACACTTATGAAATGAACATTAGCTAGGTGAAAACTGATTATTGTAGTGCTTAATAATACAAAGAAACAAATCTCTCTATGAACTCATGTAGTGAAACAATGAAATGAAAAACATTGTAATAACTTGTAGAAGAGTTTGGTACAAAAACCTGAATATTGGCTGCTATGATTGATGATAAACAGACATCAGTACTAGACAAGGGTCACACACACATGCACTATTGTTCCATTCATCAAGCAACAATGTCATCAATACCAGAATGTAAACAGCTTTCAAATTCATTTTGTGAGAGAAACATTTTTTGTGAGTCATTGAAAATTACAAAATTGTGTAGGAATTAATATTTTTCTGGGGTCCTGCAACAGTGTCAGTGACTTTATCATCAATGCCATAAATACATGAAAAATCCCATTATCAAAAATTTAACGGTTTATGGTATATAACCATTTAAAACTATTAAGGGGTTTTAATTCATATCTGTTTTTATAGAACTTATTATCAAAACCCCAAAGGTCAGTATAAAGTAATGAATTGATTATAATAACAGCTATATTTAAATTGCACAGGAAGGTTAAATTAAATGTGACCTTAGTATCCGATGTCAGTTACACAATCCCTAACCCACCATTCATTTCCTTTTAATATGATAAATATAATGATTATGATTAATCTGCATGTAACTATCAATCTAAAACAAAACTGAACATAATTTCAATTATTCAGAATAAAACGGTTCCTAAACAGTGACATTGTAAATTTCATTGTAAATAAAAACAACAATTGAATAAATTTGATATTAACCTCACTTCACATTATATAAGATTACATTATTTATTTGCACTACTGGCAGCACATCTGAAGTACACATAAAAACTGCACATACCGGTACTACATACTGGATCATTCAAACTTACATACATACACAGACCTAACTGTCATGTCAGGGCCAGTCAATGGATTCTGTAGGTACTTCATTCAAGCAGACCATAGTGTGAGCAGACCAAGTTTTGACAACCCAAAGAAAGCATTGTCAAAGTGTATTAAATAAAACCACATACAGATAACCAAAGCTTTTAGAGGAATCATGCTTTGAATGTCACTATAAATATGCACAATACATGTTTAAAATGGTGATGTAGTATTCCAGTTTGAGCTCTGAATTCAATAGTAACAACATTCTGAAATATACTTAGTAACTTACCCCATTTAGACTGCCAACATCTTTTAAGGTATAAACATTGTCAAACTGATCAAAATTGATGACAGCATGACGTTTATCGATGGAATGGGACTGCAAAAAAAAATACAGACGAAATCAGTTCATGTATCTCCTTGTATTGATAGAAAGAATAAGAAGTAGGTACTGATTTACTAAAGTAGTGAAAAGCTAATAAAAATACATGAAAACAGTTTCAGAAAACTTGTAGCAGTGAGTGAGTGTGGTTCCAATATGGCAGGATGTAACTCAATATGGACATAACAGAGCTGTATATAATTCTTTCACAGAAGCCCTAGCCAATCAGATCACAGTAAAGGACATGTATCTTATAATTTAGTAGAGTCATGGCAAGTACATGTGATATAAGACACTGATTAATCATTGCTACCAGAGCGTCTCTCACTGACCCAACAGTGAAAACTTTACTACTTCATAATAGAATTCTTTTTTAGATTAGAGATGTAATGCATATTCATGATGAAATGAAAATGAAGTCCAAAAAACAAACATGAACTTTGGAGAAATGGTACTACTGTAAATATCGAACCCCTATTAAAAATCATATTAGTCAAATAACAAATAACTTTAGAAATAAGGACAATTATTTTTTTTGACCATGTTGGATTAGATTTTGGCAAACAGTATACCAGAGACATTGAACACAGGTTAAAATATAATTGCAAGAAAGCTTGAAATTTAATGCATGATACAAAAATTAATTAAAATAATTAACCGTTTTCTTACAGCGTTGGTCAATTAATCAGGTTTGTAGTGCACCATACAAATTAGGATTTGAACAAAAAACTAATTAGGAATATACATTATCTGAAAAAATCTATACGTCCAATTTCATTAAAAACCAATAAACGGTTCTTGAAAAATACTAAAATAGACTAATTATTATGCAAATTAGGAAATTAATACATACTGAACTAAAAATTAATCAGGTCTGCAGATCCGGATGCAGATGTATTGTAGATGTAGATAAACACACTTATAAAAACAACCAATCATATGTTTACAATACAAATGTCAGTAGAAATTTACACCATGGCAACAACATCTTGAAGAAATAATCTTAACCAAGAAGAATGTTGAACATAGTTAACTTTGTAATTTACTATAGAATATTTCAGGTTTGCAATCCAAATGTTACCAGTAGTTATAATCAATAAAAGCTCAGAAAGAACTCCCGTGTGCTGAGAGTATT